ACTCATCCCAACCAATGGCCACTACTCCATACTAATCCCAACCGATGGCCCAACTCCATACTAATCCCAATCGATGGCCACTACTCCATACTATAACCGATGGCCACTACTCCATACTAATCCAAACCGATGGCCACTAATCCGTACTCATCCCAACCGATGGCCACTACTCCGTACTCATCCCAACCGATGGCCACTACTCCGTACTCATCCCAACCGATGGCCACTACTCCATACTCATCCAAACCGATGGCCACTACTCCGTACTCATCCCAACCGATGGCCACTACTCCGTACTCAGCCCAACCGACGGCCACACTACTCCGCACTCATCCCAACCGACGGTCACTACTCCGTACTCAGCCCAACCGACGGCCACTACTCCGTACTCAGCCCAACCGACGGCCACTACTCCGTACTCAGCCCAACCGATGGCCACTACCCTACTCCTTACTCATCCCAACCGATGGCCACTACTCCGTACTCATACCCAACCGACGGCCACTACTCCGTACTCATCCCAACCGACGGCCACTACTCCGTACTCAGCCCAACCGACGGCCACTACTCCTTACTCATCCCAACCGATGGTCACTACTCCGTACTCATCCCAACCAACGGCCACTACTCCGTACTCATCCTAACCAATGGCCACTACTCCGTACCCATCTCAATCAATGGCCACTACTCCGTACCTATCCCAACCAATGGCCACTACTCCATACTCATCCCAGCCACTGGCCACTACTCCCTACTCCTTCCAACCAATGGCCACTACTCCATACTCTTACTACTTGACCTCTCTGAAGCTTTTGATACTGTTGACAATCCTCTCCTGCTCAAAAAAAACTCCACTCTCTGAGTCTCAGAGACTCTGCTCTCTCCTGGTTTCTCCTCCTACCTATCACAGCGCTCCTTAAGCATTACCTATAATGCTGCTTCCTCCTCTTCACTCCCTCTTTCTATAGGGGTGCCTCAAGGATCTGTCCTTGGACCCCTTCTCTTCTCCATCTACACCTCCTCCATTGGTCACTTGATAAACGCCCATGGCTTAAAAGTACCATCTCTATGATAATGATACACAAATCTATCTTTCTACTCCTCACCTCACCCCTTCAGTCACCTCCTCACCTCACCCTCATCCCCTTCATTACTAAACCTACTAAGCGACATATCGGCATGGATGTCACTCCACTTCCTCTAACTCAATCTTTTCAAAACTGAGCTCTTAGTATTTCCTCCAGCCCGTGCCCCCTCCCCTGACTTCTCCATCAAGATCAATAACACAATCATCAGTCCCACCCCTCATGCCAGGGTACTAGGTGTAATCCTAGACTCCCATCTGTTCTTTCAACCCCAAATCCAATCGCTGTCCAAATCTTGTAGACTTCACCAAGACAACATCTCCAAGATACGCCCGTTCCTAACCTCGGAAACCACTAAGCAAGTTATTCTCTCCTTGTTATATCTCGCCTTGACTATTGTAACTCCCTCCTCATTGGCCGACCTCATCACAGGCTATCCCCTCTTCAGTCTATCATGAATGCTGCTGCCAGACTCATCCACCTTACTATCCATTCTGTATCTGCCACCCCTCTATGCCAATCCCTCCACTGGCCTCCTCCACCCAGTGTGCTCCATTCACCCCTCTCTCCACAAGCCCTCCCACTGGCCCTCCATTCACTGTCCTCCACCCCTCTCTGTCAATCCCTCCACTGGCCTCCATTCAGTATCCTCCACCCCCTCTGTAAATACCCTCCACTGGCTTCCCGTTGCCCAATGGATATAATTCAAAACATTAACAATAACATATAAAGCCATTTATAACTGCCCAAAAATACATCACCAATCTTGTCTCCAAATATCACCCAAACCGTCCTCTCCGCTCCTCGCAAGACCTCCTACTCTCTAGCTCCCTTGTCTCCTCCTCCCATGCTAATCTCCAGGACTTCTCCAGAGACTCCCCCATCCTCTGGAACTTTCTACCACAATTTATCAGACTATCGCCTACTCTGCTCACTTTTAGGCGATCTCTGATAACCTCTCTCTTCAGGGAAGCCTATCCTGCCTCTTCTACTCTTCCTAACCAGTCCATCCCCCACAGTTACTACCTCTTGTACCACTAGCCCCTCCCTTTTAGATTGTAAACTCCCAGGATCAGGGCCCTCCTATCCCTCTTGTATTGAACTGTATTGTTGCTGTATTGTCTACCGTTATATTGTAAAGCGCTGAGAAAACTTTTGGCGCCATAAATCCTGTATAATAATTACCTCCTCTACAGTCCGTCCACCAACCTCTCCGATCTCCTTCAGACCACATAGAACTTTGTGTCTTTATTCAAATCACTTCCTGTCTGTCTGTTCCTGACATCACTTCCTGACTGTATTCCATAGAGAAGTCCTGTCTGGGTAGTAGAAAGGAGATCACCATCTTGTGGCATTCAGAGGAACTGCAGCCCCGAGAAATGTCCTTAATCACCATTCCTGTATTGTATTACCTTACAGAGATACCAGTAAAGTTGACAAAATAACTAAAAAAAAGTAAGAAACAATAAACCTAACTCTTATGCAACCAACTTTAAAAAAGTACTTTACTACAGATAGAAAAGTCTTAAAGACACAGAACACAAGATAAAAACAAAAGGTATACATAATAAAACAGAGACCTCTAAAATCAGACAGACTACCCAGAATGTCCCCGTCCTTCATATCAGAGAAAGAGACAGACTACCCAGAATGTCCAATCCTTCATATCAGAGGGAGACAGACTACCCAGAATGTCCAATCTCCTCCTATCCTATCAGAGAACTGTAGAAAAAAAAAGACAGACTACCCAGAATGTCCCGTCCTCCATTCCTATCAGAGACCTGAGACAAACTACCCAAAAATGTCCCGTCCTTCATATCAGAGAGAGACAAACTACCCAGAATGTCCGTCCTTCATATCAGAGAGAGACAGACTACCCAGAATGTCCCGTCCTTCATATCAGAGAGAGACAGACTACCCAGAATGTCCGTCCTTCATATCAGAGAGAGACAGACTACCCAGAATGTCCCGTCCTTCATATCAGAGAGAGACAGACTACCCAGAATGTCCCGTCCTTCATATCAGAGAGAGACAGACTACCCAGAATGTCCCATCCTTCATATCAGAGAGGAGACAGACTACCCAGAATGTCCCGTCCTTCATATCAGAGAGAGACAGACTACCCAGAATGTCCCCGTCCTTCCATATCAGAGAGAGACAGACTACCCAGAATGTCCCGTCCTTCATATCAGAGAGAGACAGACTACCCAAATGTCCCGTCCTTCATATCAGAGAGAGACAGACTACCCAGAATGTCCCGTCCTTCATATCAGAGAGAGAGACAGACTACCCAGAATGTCCATCCTTCATATCAGAGAGAGACAGACTACCCAGAATGTCCCGTCCTTCCATATCAGAGAGAGACAGACTACCCAGAATGTCCCATCCTTCATATCAGAGAGACGAGACAGACTACCCAGAATGTCCTCCCATCCTTCCTCCCATATCAGAGAGAGAGACAGACTACCCAGAATGTCCCATCCTTCATTATCAGAGAGAGACAGACTACCCAGAATGTCCCGTCCTTCCTATCTCAGAGAAGACAGACTACCCAGAATGTCCTCATCCTTCATTTCAGAGAGAGACAGACTACCCAGAATATGTCCCATCCTTCATATCAGAGAGAGACAGACTACCCAGAATGTCCCCCGTCCTTCTATCATATCAGAGAGACACAGACTACCCAGAATGTCCCATCCTTCATATCAGAGAGAGACAGACTACCCAGAATGTCCCGTCCTTCATATCAGAGAGAGACAGACTACCCAGGAATGTCCTGTCCTTCATATCAGAGAGAGACAGACTACCCAGAATGTCCCGTCCTTCATATCAGAGAGAGAGACAGACTACCCAGAATGTCCCGTCCCCATATCAGAGAGAGACAGACTATCCAGAATGTCCCATCATTTCATATCAGAGAGAGAGACAGACTACCCAGAATGTCCCGTCCTTCATATCAGAGAGAGACAGACTACCCAGAATGTCCCGTCCTTCATATCAGAGAGAGAGACAGACTACCCAGAATGTCCCAATCCTTCATATCAGAGAGAGACAGATTACCAGAATGTCCCGTCCTTCATATCAGAGAGAGACAGACTACCCAGAATGTCCCAATCCTTCATATCAGAGAGAGACAGACTACCCAGAATGTCCTGTCCTTCATATCGAGAGAGACAGACTACCCAGAATCTCCTGTCCTTTCATATCAGAGAGAGGGAGACAGACTACCCAGAATGTCCCATCCTTCCTATATCAGAGAGAGAAAGACTACCCAGAATGTACCCCCATCCTCATATCAGAGAGACAGACTACCAGAATGTCCCTGTCCTTCATATCAGAGAGCAAGACAGACTACCCAGAATGTCCCCCATCCTATATCAGAGAGAGAGTGACAGACTACCTAGAATGTCCCTTCATATCAGAGAGCAGACAGATACCAGAATGTACCGGCCTCCATAGATCAGAGAGAGACAGACTACCCAGAATGTCCATCCTTCATATCAGAGAGAGACAGACTACCAGAATGTCCCGTCCTTCATATCAGAGAGAGACAGACTACCCAGAATGTCCCGTCCTTCATATCAGAGAGAGACAGGACTACCCAGAATGTCCCGTCCTTCATATCAGAGAGAGACGGACTACCCAGAATGTCCACCTTTCCATATCAGAGAGAGAGACAGACTACCCAGAATGTCCCGTCCTTTCATATCAGAGAAGAGACAGACTACACCAGAATGTCCCGTCCCTTCATATCAGAGAGAGACAGACTAACCAGAATGTCCCGTCCTTCATATCTATTATTATTGAGAGAGACAGACTACCCAGAATGTCCCGTCCTTCAATATCAGAGACCGAGACAGACTAAACCCAGAATGTCTCATCTTTTATATGAGAGAGAGACAGAGGCCTACCCAGAATGTCTCATCATTAAATTCAGAGACTGAGAGACTACCCTGAATGTCCCGTCCTTCTATAGAAAGATCCAGAGAGAGACAGACTAACCAGAATGTCCCCATCCTTCATATCAGAGAGACGAGAAGACTACCCAGAAATGATTCCCTCATCCTTCATATCAGAGACTGAGACAGACTTAACCCAGAATGTCCCGTCCTTCCTATCAGAGAGAGACAGACTCCCCAGAATGTCCCATCCTTCATAACAGAGAGAGACAGACTACCAGAATGTCCTATTCCTTCATATCAGAGAGAGACAGACTACCCGAATGTCCCGTCCCCTTCATATCAGAGACCGAGACAGACTACCCAGAATATCCCGTTCTTCATAATTAGAGAGAGAGCGCGAACAGACTACCCAGGAATGTCCCGTCCATTCTATCAGAGAGAGGGAGACAGAACTATATACCCAGAATCTCCAATCCTTCACATAATAAGAGAGAGACAGACTACCCAGAATGTCCGTCCTTCATATCAGAGAGAGAGACAGACTGCCCAGAAATGTCCCACTCCTTCATAATCATAGAGAGATCAGAATAACCCAGAATGTCCCGTCCTTCATATTCAGAGAGCGAGACGGGGGACTACCTAGAATGTCCCGTCCTTCATAACAGAGAGTGACAGACAAACTACCCAGATATGCCCCGTCCATCTTCAATCAGAGAGTGACAGATACTACACAGAATGTCCAGGTCCTTCCATATACAGATCAAAGAGAGACA